TATACAAGACATTCAATATCTGCTGTCAGGTTTCGAACTTCATACGTATCATGTAAGTATTTGAAAATACATGGGTTCTGGAATTCTATTTAGGTTGTGAAACTTTTCCATTTTCTCATGCAAGGAGCACCTGAATTAATTTTCTGAAAAGCTATAAATGGCAACTTAACAATAAAACGGAAGTATTTGAAATTATCCAGCTGGTTGTCGGGTGAGTTTTGGTTTTTGCCATTGGCAATCGCACAACATGTTAGTTCATATAACTTGAACTCCTGCGAAAAAGATGTTCACGACGCTCGTGAGACTAGGCTAGACGGGATGGAACAGACAAAGATCGGTAAAGGTGGAATACGAGACGAAACGAGTCACTTCTTTGGCTGCCTCGCGAGTCTCTGATCTAATCCATAATATTACTTGTCATGATCCCTTCTCTATTCTGATGGAGGCACGTAATCATCAGTCGTAACAGTGAGCAAATGAACATTTTTTGGGCGAACCTAAACCAGCTGGATTGACTCGTAAGTCATTGAATTTCGTGCTAAAATGCTGATTTCAAAACGTTCTTTTCGCTCATAATTCAGTATGACTGAAGCCAGAAATCAGAATTAACTAATTCATCGTCTTAGGCCTGATTGCTCTTAGTGATCAAAACTTATCCACTCGCTAAACTTTACTATATTCTCTACAATGCATGAAAAATTCCTCTCGAAAATTAAATAAAGGAACCACAGGTACCTAGGAATTGTCTAAAATGACAGTTATTTTTATCTAGTGATTCTCTATTCACGATTCAATATCAGCTCAGCGATGATCAACTATTAGGAAACGCTTTCCTTCAGTTTTATTTCATTCTCTTGATTGTTTCTGCCAATCTAGATAGAATTTGCAAATAAGAAAACCAAATTTTCACTACCTTTACGTTTGCATTCACTCAGCAGTGTCGATGTATTGTTCACAATGAAAATTTACAAAATGAAATGTTGCCAACGAGCTTCAACTAAAAAATTCATGTATATATACCAAAGTTTCGCTTTTTTAAAAAGGTTTAGATTCGAGAGACACTCGATGGAAAACATTCGAATGGAAGCATATGTAAATAAGAAGAAACTGTGAACAAACGACTAAGTATCCTTTTTACTAAAATGTGCTTGTTATTGTTCTGCCGCCCTTTCTGTTTGCTGTTGTTGATGTCACAAAAACAGTCAGCAACATCACAACTGTCTTGAGCGTGTGTGCGTGAGTTTCAAAGGGAATAGATTTAAAGCAACCTTACGACGCGTTTTGAGGGTGTGGGTGTGGGTGTGAGTGTGGATGTGGGTGTGGGTGAGTTTGAAAGGGAATAGATTTAAAGCAACCTTACGACGCGTTTTGAGGGTGTGGGTGTGGGTGTGGGTGATTGTGGATGGGTGTGGGTGTGGGTGTGTGGGTATGGGTGTGTGGATGTGGGTGTGTGGGTGTGGCTGTGGCTGTGGATGAAGCAAAGAATCACCCGACAATTCAAAAAAAATGTGCGGCATTCTCGTGGAAAAAATATTCAAAAAAATTTTTCATGCGAAAATCCACAAATTAGAGAGTTTCTTATTCTAATAATCGATTATTTTTCAAAATCACTGTAGTCTACGAGAGGTTTTAGACTTTAAGTATTTTTTAATTGGTGTAATGATGCTAGAATGCTTATATGAGTTCCACATTTTAGCATTGTCGAGGTTCTACTAAAAAAACTCTTTTATCCGTTTGCTGCCATATATGAACCATTCCGTTTGACTTAGAAAGTCATGAAATTTGGGTATGAAAAAAAAACTTGAAGAAGACATTCGATTCGTCTTTTTCTTTATGTATCTCTTTTCAATCATCTCATGCATTTGATATGAATAAAAAAAGAATTGCTGCAATCTTTCCTCTTATCATCAAAAAACAGTTAGTACAAGAAACAATCGCTCGTATAGTCTTCTCTTATGAAAATCGATAGCAAACAGCACTTTTAATTAAAATCTGCAGTTAATCTATGATTTTGTTTCGTTACTTTCAGTAATTTAGATTGGCAAAAACACTTAATCACAAACATATTCATAATGACGAAAGTCTATCAGTTACAATAAATAAGATTTAATAGATATTTTCTCTCGTTGTAGGTATCGCTTTTGGAGTTAACACATCTTGTATTAAGCGTGTAAAATAGAAGTTCATACTATTTTTTAATTGTTTGACTAGATTATTAATGTATTTATTCATCCTATAGTGTTTTCGCTTGCTAATATATTTTATGAGATGTACTATGCATACGCATCAGATAGTCGACATTTTATTCAGTCTTTTTATTACACTTAAATAAAGTTCGATCATAGCCTTGGAAGCATTCTCTGAACTTTTGACGAAATTGCATATCATTTTAGGTTTTTTCGATTCTGTATAAGCCATTAGCACATAGACATAGCTTGATTTTTCAATAAGTGTTCTCCGATATGCACCAAAATGTATCAAATCAGATCTTGTTATTAATCGTCATAACTAACATTCAAAGAATTAAACTAAATAATTTTTTTTATTTATGTTTATTCTACTAGATTGGTCAAATGTGAGTAGTTGATTTATAGCAAATAGGCTTTTTTCTATTTTAAATTTGGTTCAACAACTAGTCCACTGCTAGTTAACCGAACCTAATCTACGGTTTTTGCTGATACGAGCTATATAAATAATTATTTGTCAATCATAGGATCAAGCATTATAATGTTTATTATACGATTTCTATTCTTGATGGGGTTGCTTTCAATTATCACTTCTGTTGAAAGTTCGATGAATCACATTATTGATCGATCCTTTCATGTTGATTATGATACAGTTAGCGGGATAAGAATAGATTGTTCCATTTTGAACAACAAGTGTGCAAGCGTATTTAGGGTTCAACAAAATATTTTACGATTCAAAGAGAAACCAGCTCCTTTGCTCATCGTCAATATTAACACTTTATATATCATACAAACTGAAAGTTCACGTACATCTGTAACGCTCATTAATAGAATTAACGAACATCACTCAACCTAACTAGAGTAAAATACAATGATTGTAGCATCCCTTCAAACATCGTAAAAATGAATAAAACTCATAGATGGAAACTCACATAAAGATGGATGTGGATGTGGATAACTCCTGTATAACTACCCACACTCACACCCATACCCACCCTGTAATAAAATACGGGGAAAAATTTAATATATCATATTGGTAAAAAATCCGTATGTAATGTATAGATATAACTGTTCAAGTGATATAGCGATCAGAAAAGACGAAACAACTAGCCAGTACAAAGTGAAAAGGACAACGAACGCACATACAAATGAATCTGCAAAAGCTATTCTCTAATAAAACTGAATCGGGCGGAATGTGTTAAGAGTACAACAACCCACCTTTGAAATTACTGTGGCGTATGCATTATTTCAGTTATAATTAACAAACAAAGTTCTTGAAAATATATAAGAAAAAACATTCAAAACCTTATCTTTATCTTCCTTATTAGAATACGAGCTATAATTTATAGATTAATTATTCTATGTGACAACAACATGTCATGTAAAATCAAATAAATCGCTATTCAAGAAGAGTGTATTTTATCAATCACTCGACTAGTGTTTATTTCTATAATCAGTAAATAAAAAGAAATAAAGATATTTGATTCAGAAGCAATATCATGAAAACAGTGTTTCACAATATCAACCATGTAAGTATAGCGAGTATGAACCTGTTACTTCTCGGAGTATCAAAAGAATAATAGTTTGCAAGATCCTGTGAATTGGATACGAATCTGGTCAATATAATCTCGACTGAAAAGTCGAGAAAAATTCTGATTTGGTAAGAATCGTGCAACTGTTAGACACTCAATCTGATCTATTTGAGAAATACAATCTAAAAGGAGTACTGAAGTTTATTGATAGACATCAGGACACATTCTCTCATAGAAACGACAGATTCATAACAATGACTTCTCATACATGTGCTAGATATCTTTAGTAAAATATTTTCGTCATCACACACCATGATAGACGTTTGTATTATACAATCACAGACTGCTTATCGATACTGCTTTGCTATAATATATGAAATATTTTCTTATTGCATTTACAGTTGCACTAATGATCCGTCGACGAATTAGCAGTTACTATTCCTCAGTTCTTGTATGTTGCTGTCTTCACAGAAATGCAAAACATAAATTTATTATATAAATTTCAATTCGAAATTCGATCAGTGTCTATCAAGTGAAAATGTAATGAATTTTTCATTGATTATTTTTATTTTTTTGCAGTGATTCAGAACACAACAACTTCGATACTCTTCCGTATAACAAAGAAAATGAATAAAAAAATAAAAGATGAAAAATTCTCAATAATTCTATTCCTTATCCAATTTTTTCTATATGATGAATTTTTTCATCCTTAAATTCAAGATTTCTTACATTTGTTGTATTTTCCCACTTTCATTTCCTATGTTAACTTTTGACAAGTATGTAAAAAATTAGTCAAAATTTGAATAGAATGATTGATTTATCGATTATATATACATATTAACATATTTGTTCGAACATTACTCATCAATCATTCTTCACTTTTCGTTTCGCTCTTCTCTTCTCTTTCTTTTGCGTTCTATCCATTAGTCTATAAAAGCATATAGTATAAACGAGCATTATCAACATTCAATGTTATAAAGCGAAATTTGTATTCTTCTATCAAGAAAATGTATTTGCGATTCCTTTCCCCAATGATGAAATATCTGAATCTATACTATCTAAGTATCGAACAATCTTATTCGATAAAACAAATGATTTGATAAGGTACAAATTATACGGCCCATATTATTATTTAGTTTTTTTTCCTTTTCCTTTCTTCGTTCATAGAAATAATAAAATAATCCAATATATTAATCCATTATTTCAAATATTTCACAGCATCATATCTTAATGAATATTGATAAAAAAACCTACATATTCTTCTATTTTTTATTTTTCAGCAATGTCAGAAAAAAATTTATGTACTGATATAACATGTGACGATACAATCAAAGAATTATATCAATGTCATTGTTGTTTACAACTTGTGTGTTTAACTCATTTGATTCAACACGTTGAAATAGCAAAACAAAATAGACAACAATGCAATTATCCTCGTAATGAATTAAATACGGTTATAAATAAACTTAACTTGATTGTTGAAGAAAAACTATTGACTATTAAACATGAACAAAACTTGATTGAACAAGCAAAACAATTTCTTAATACACCTAATAGTACTATCGAAGAATTACAGAATAGTTTCGAACAAATTAATCAAGCAATTATATCAAATCGTTCAGGTAAAAAAAAGACTAAATCAGATAATCGTTTTTCTTTCTGGTTTATTACTTTGCCTTTATTTTTTTATAGAAGAAATTATATTGAAAGTTGAACCTTTATCAGCGAATATGGAAGAATGCTCTTATATTCGCGAGCATGATATGGAAAATACGAATTTGAATGGTAAAATAAAATCTCTCTCTTTGTAAACTCAAGTTTAATTGTACAAGATTAATTGAGATTGAAGAGTAGTTTTTCCATAAGCAACCTTATTCGATTTTGTTTGTACTACGTCTATGATTTTGATCAAATCATAGACGCTTGATATTTCAACTTCCTCAAGTGTAACGCGATGACATTTCGGCGACAATATTAGCAATTTTTCTCAATAATTAGGGTATCTAGTAAGCTTTTACTTTCATTGTTAGATGTATCTTTGCCTTGCCCATAACCTCTGGAGATTTTAGCTCGTTTAAAAAAAAAAGCAAAAACATATGATGAAAAGGGTCGAAACGTTAAGAGCGACGTGTTTGTTCCTTACTTTGTTACGAGTGTACGCTACATTACAATAAATCTTCTGTAGAAGTTTTGTAGCAGACACTTTGAAGTACTCAACGAAAAAAAGAATTCTTTAAATAGGTTTTTTTATTTTGAAGAGTGGCCAGTTTAACTAATATAACGCGATGACGATGATTTCTACTAACAAGCTTTTTTCTATGTTACGTTTGCTATATCTATAATTGTCTAAAGACGAGATATTATTTTTATTTCCATGATTAAACTATACAAATGTTAAATATCTTTTCTCACACTTTATCTCATACGCTACAAAATCCTCGTAATGGATTTTAAAAAAGAAGGATTTTGAGTCGTTGGCCATCAAGGCTTGGAACGGGCCGTCCGACCCGGAGTAGGTTTTTATGGAAATATATAGATGTCAATCAATCTAGAATTTATTAAAAAATTATTATTGTAGACGCTTATCTCGAATTTTAATTGTAATGAATACTAAAAGACAATTAGAAAATTTACTTATATGATCATAATAAAATTTATAAACATAATCTCTTACAAACTTTGTTTTGTGTACTCTTAGCAAATTTTTATTATAGACTTAATATAATTTCGATTGGTAAAGATTAGTTCATGTAGTTTCTTCGTAACATAGAAGAGAAAGCTTTTAAAATATGCTTAGAATTAGTAGAAGATTTACGAATGTCAAAAGATACAACTTTAAAAAAATAAACATAATCTATTTAAGATCATGAATCTTCAACAAATGTTATACCAAATTTGATGGATACGATCTTATTTAAGTAAGTTTCTTTTTTATTAGAAGAAATTTAAGGTACACTACATATTTACATTTTTCAGTGAAACAACGAAATCCATCGAGGTAAAAATAATTATATTCATATGAATATCAATAAAATCAATTTATTTAATTGAAATACGTCATATGTCAAATATTGCTATATTACATCTAATTACTGATTAATCATATTAGTATAAGTTACAATTCAATATTTCTCTCATTCTAATATACTCAACAGTGAACCCAATAGATATTTGTTCTTCGTATATATTGTTAACCGACAAAGAAAATAAACATTCTTAATAGCATAACTAAATAAACAATAAACACAAGTGATGCGATAGTCGATTAAGAAAGAAATGTTCTACAAAATTGTGTTTAACAATCTGATTTCTTTTTGGTTTTAGTACATGAAAATATTATCCTCACTGAAAAATTAAATTAGCACATTTTTTTATATACCAGATTCTAATTGCAAATATCTACGAACTGTCTTTTACATAAAACATTAGTTTTTAAATATTAAAATATTATTTAACTATTATTTTTTTTACAGTTCTTCAATCAATAGCAGAAAAATTTCGACTTTATTTTGAATCTTTTTATAATCGCCGACGGAATAGCTTAAAATTTGGGAAAAGATCGATATATTCTATGGACAACAGAGAATATTGTAGGGCACAAAGAAATTTTATTATTCGTACAGTCTTACCAAGAGGATGGGGCTAAAATCTTTGTATTGCTTCACAAAAAAAGAATAATATACAAAAAACTTGACGTTTGTTATATTTTCCTCATAAAAAAATCGATTCAAATATACATAGTTTTTATTGAATTTGAGTTTATATGAGAGTAGAAACTGATTAGAACCGAAGATTTTTCTTATAACAGATGTCTTAAGTTTTCATTTCATACGATTTACTCAGTCTAGAAGTTCATGAATGCTAAAAAAACCTAAACGAAAATAAAAACGAATCAGCAGTTATGTTTAAATTTTAAAACATTATTTTTAATGTTTCAGTTAGACAAGCTCTTATTGCTGAGCAAAATATTTTTTATCTTTAGTTCAAAAAACAGAAACGAGATCTCATTTAAAATGCTATATGCAAAAATTAGTTTTCTATAGTTGGTTTGTATCCATAGTCTATCATATCTTCTTTGTCAACTACTTGGTAAAAAATAAATAATACACTATCTAAAATAGTTTCCTTAATATTTGTTTTTCTTTTATTTTAAAAGAATATATAAGAAAAAAGTTTTTTAAATATATATTGTAAAAAAAGAAAAAGAGATTTTATTTATATTCATTCGTTATTTTCAATTACACCGAAACTAAAACAGGACTTCCAAATAAAACGATATATTTACGAAATGTAATCAATAAAAGATGAATGAGAAGTTTGAAAGCAATGACAAATATTTTATCAAGACTTGAGATCTTGTAATAAACACTTATATTCCACTTAAAGATTCAAATCTGATTTGCCCAAAGGATAGAGTGGTACAACAAGATTGCCCTATGACAATTTTCGGTAGGTAAAGACAAGAGATTTTATTCAAAATTCTTCAGATTACTTTAGTAAAGAATCATAAAATTAATGATTTTTGGCTAAAGAAATGGATACTACCATTTAGCTCGTTCATAGAAAACCTTACAAAATTGCTAGTTTTATGAAGTTTTGATTATTGAAAGTCAATTAGTATAATGTATAACCTTTATATTCGAAATCGGCAACATTTAAATATGTACCAGAAACTATCTTCCTGTTGAAATTTTAACTGACAGGTAGGTTCCGATGAAAGTTTTTAAAATAGATGATGGAAAGAATATAAATATATACACAAGTAAAGTTTTGGCGAAAAATAGTTTTTGATGCATCTTTCATCTTGATTTCGAATTTTTTACTTTGTTTTCATATAAATTGATTTTAGAAAGGCTTAATGTGGAATTACTACCGATTTTTATGACATTTTCAATGAGAATAAGTCTTTTTAAAATTTTTTTCTAATACCAAAAACAACGTACCATTACTGTTCATTGTTTGTCCAATATGTAAAGTATCTGTATCTCGAGGTTTTTCTCTTCCAGATAATACACATATAAATTAGAGATGAATTTTCTAAATTAAAATCTTTTCGTCTACGTAGTAAATGAAAAAATCTAACATTTCAGTTAAATGCTACATGAATTCAATTTATATGAATATGGTATTTCATCGTTCCTCCTACTGTTAAATCGGTTTGTTTGTCCGTTGCGTACATGTCTAAATTAGTTCTTATTTTCTATCATATAATTTCAGCATTGTGTTTGAGATGTTATATCATGCTTTTCTTTTCAGGATGAATATGTCAATAAAAAACAAAAGAAGATTAAAAAAAAGCCATGCAGAATGATTGTTAGTGAATGTCCATTAACATTTAATGGAGCATATGGCCTTAGTGAAGAAAATCATTCTATTAAATTTTGTGAATATGGACAAAATCATCCAATTCGATTATATGAACATTTCCGAAACAAGCATAAATTAGAAGACGTTTATATCAAACGTTTATTACGAGCTATTGCTGATAATCAAGATCCTAGGAAAACAAAATTATTTCATGAAAATGAAAGTATAATTGATCCATTTTGGAACGTACCATGTCCTTTTATTAATGGACCGTCATCAGAATGTTGTCGAAAATCTTTAAAGAAGATACCATGTGCATATCGATTTATTCAATTTGATAGATTAAAATTTCATTTAGAACGTTATCATCATGTTGCAAATCGACATGCACTTAAGATAGTGAACAATTTCAAAACAATGCGCGCAAAACATGATACAGTTTCAATTTCACAAATTTCATCAATACAATCAGAAGAATAGAAAATCTTCATATTATTTTTATTGATATTTGTCTCATGTCTTTTTTATTTCGATTTATTTCAATAAAGAATTTAATAATTTGATAAAAATGTTTCTTTCTATGCAGCTAACTGAACAAATTTTTGTATCTATACGAGACTTATTTGAGATAGAACAAATTAGTAGCTTTTAACAACAATATCAATAATTTATACAATTTACTTAGAAAAAAATTGATAAATACTATGATTCTTTCATCGAATAAATCTGCATATCAAATGTAAG